CTTGGCACAGCATAGCAGAACTACCAATATTTCTATTAATTTTCTTAAGCTTGCTTCCGTAACAGGAGGCAGCAATCTGCTCTCTAGAGCTCCTTCCATCCCCTTTCTCCATGGATCTAAAACCAAAAATTTTCCAGGAGTTTCAAAAGGAGTTTGCTGGTGGCAAGTTCAATCTCCTTCCTGTTTTGAAAAGCTCTTTTTGAGAAGCTGAAAATGCTTCAGGTGAGTTGTTTTCTGCTGTGCTGTTCTCTGGTCTGAGTGCCAGTCAGGCACAGCATCTCCAAAGCTGTTCAAGGTGCTGGCTCTGGCCATGCTGCTCCTGGGGTGGCTGCTCCTTCTCTTGCTAGGGGCAGGGAACATGGTGTTTCTTGTTTCCTGATTTTGTGACCTTTTCCAATCAGGCATGCAATTTAACATCAGTGTTCCCAGTCTGAAAGCTCACAGGTGTCAGCACTTCTCGCTCTGGTGAGCTCAGTGCTCGTGGTGCTGCAGCGAGGGGGCACATCAGGCTTCACCGGGGATCCAGCACTCTCCAGGCACACAAGTGCCTCAGGGCTGGGTTTGGCACAGACCAGCCTCAGCATGGGATGTGCATCAGCTCAGCGTGGGAGGAGAGGACTTGGTGTTAAAAGTGCACGAGGGTTGAAGCCTGGAAGCTTTTGATGTGACAAAGACCAGGGCTGCCCTGTGCAGCCCACAGGGAGAATGGCTCACTGCTGTCATTTCAGCACGAGGCTGACCCTGCTGTCCAGCCAGAGGGAAAAGCTGATTTTTTATTTTCCTCTGTATGGGGAATGTGGGTTGTTTATTTGCTAAAAAAATCTGCTCCAAGGTTCACTGTGTCAGCCTGCAGACAGCTTTGCTGGTGTTGCCATCTATTTTTTTTAATGTAAATGAAGACAAGATGCTGACACAAAGGCTGCTGACTTTGGGAGGTCTGGGAAGCCCAGCTTTTCCTGGGGCTCTGTCTCATGCCAGGGTTTACTGTGCTCTGGCAGAGGTTTGCTTGCCTTTGGTCATGAACCCTCCTAAGGTACCACTTGTCCTTTGCCCCTGAGCTGCCATTCCTTCCCCTCTGCCCTTCTTGTCTCTGTGTTTTCTTAGGAGACAAGTGTTTTCCATGCTTGACATCTTGCCCTCCATCAGCTCCCCCCCAGGCCAAGTAGCTTTCTTTGCCAAGTTCCCTTTGGATAGTGCATATCATGCAATCTATCCAAACTCTTGATTGATCTCTTAGGAATTGTTTTTCATCTAAATTCCTGGAATGTTTCCACCCACTGAAGAGTTTCCTCCAGAGAGAAGGGAAATGAATCCTGTGCCACTCCCCTGCAGGAGTGGTGGCCATGGGAAGGCTTTTGTTTGGCTTGTGCCTGTTGGGAGATAGATGTGGGCTCTGCAGTGTTTGCTCAGTTGTGGCAGTTCTGCTAAATAAGGCAGAGCAGCAGGGAGGTGAGTGGCAGCTCTGCATCAGGGACTTGAGGCATAAGGAAGATGAAATGAGTTGATGAAGGTTGCAGGTTGGCTCTGGTGCTGCTAATGGCTCTGGCATGGGAGCAGGCTGTCCTGTCTGTGCTTGCTGCAGCAGCTGTCGCAGGGTTTGGAGTGTCAGTGGCTGGGGAGCCCTTAGAAACAAGTGACTTGTCCTGAAATGTGCATGGAGGGGAGAGCAGGAGGGGACCTTGAGGCTGCTCTTTGGCCCAGCCCCACTCTCTGGGAAGGGGGGAGAGTTCTGTGGGACACTCTGACAGCACCAACCCTGGCTCTGCATGGACCAGGAGCTCTTACAGCATCTGGGCACTGCCTGGGAACTGAGACCATCAAAGCCACTCCCCAGCCTGATCTTCGGCCACAGCTGGGGTCAAAATGTAGGATTTAATCAGCAGTTACTCCTGGCCACAGTGCAGATGCTTCCTCTTGGAATTGGGTTTAGTTCAGGACCAACATCACATTTTAATGGCCTTTAAAAAGCATGGGAATCAGGAGCTGAAGCAGGATGAGTTTGCCTGATACTGCCTATCCTCCAGCAGCTCCACACTGTTTAATCTGGGGTGTGGGAAGCACTTTGGAGTGGTCACCAATGACACCCTCAGACACACTCTGTTCAGAAAACATAACTTTATTATTAGTTGCAATATACATTGTATTCCTTTAAGAATCCTAAACTTGTATATGGTTTTTCCACTGAAAATACATGTGTATGTATATATGTTTTATATATGTATATATATATATATATATATATAGAATGTATTTTATTGAACTGGAACACAACAGAACAAGAGAGACAACCTCAGGAATTACTTGTAAAAGGAAACGTGATCCCAAGGGGTTTGTGCTGGCAGTGTGCTAAGGTGAGTGGTATAAAAAGGACAGGCTAAATAGAACACAGGATGGGTTAGGCAGTGGGAAATGGCCTCTCAGTGCTACAGGTGGTGAGATATACAGTAGTTACACGTTGCTATTGCTCAGTCACGGGTGCCACCTGTTCTCCAAGGCAGACCAGACTCTGGTGCAGCTCTGCACAGCAACATTCGTAAGGCTGGCTGTGCTCCCTGCAAGTGGTACCTGCCAGCTGGAAATAGAGTGTAATTACATTTCCCTCAGCAGCTGCTCTGCTCATTGCTAATCTGGTCAGCCAAGGAAGAATTCCTCCAGGGCTTGGTGAAACCTAACTAGGTCAGTATAAAGGAGCTTACAGGCAGGGAAAGGGATCAGCAGCAGCAGAGAGAGCTGAAGCGTGCAGATCGCTGTCTCACCTGGCCCAGGCTGGTTTGTTCCTGGCTCCTTCCCTCTGCACTCATTTCCCCACCTGCCAAGGAGCTGTGGCCCCTCTGCTCAGCAGCCAGCCCAGGGGTCTGTGGGGTCAGCACAGGCAGTGTCCAGCTTCTTTTGGATAGGTTTCCCTGTGTTAATTGCCTCAGAAGGTAACTCTTCAGAAAACTGGCTGAGGGTGGCAATACCTGCTGCTGTGCCATGGCTTTGGGGTCATTTGGCTTTTTTTTTTTTTTTTTTTTTTTTTTTTTTTTTTTTTTTTTTTTTTGTTGCTGTTCTTTGTAGGTTTTGTTTGTAAACCTTTTTTTCAAACAGCCTCCCCAGGCCGTGTGCCACTGCTGGGTTTAGTTATAGACTGAAAGACAAGTCTTCCCCAGATCAATGTCATTGGTTTCCCTTTATTTCTGTTCAGCTGCAGATGTTTCTTGGGTGAAAGGACACATTTTAGCAAAGGCACTGACGACTGACGTTCCTCTGCCTGAAGCCAGGTTGGAGGGAGCGGGCGGGCTCTGACCTTTCTGCCGAAGGGTCACTTCCCTCTCCCCTCCTGCAAAGTGCTTGTCACTTTGGAAGGGATGTAAAAATTGTGGGCATTCATTTACTCCTCCTGACTTCCTCAAGAAAAGTGCTTTCAAAAATCCTATCCTTAAATCATCATCTTGCTACTACCCCCGCAACGTCTGTCACCTCTGGATCACACCCACTTGTTTCCCCTTCCAGCTGAAGAAGCAGGTGAGATTTATCACTGCTGGAGTGTTTCTCTTCTTGCTGTCTTTCTCTAGCAGCATCTGGCCAGGAGGGAGCTTGCTCAGGCAACAGAAGTTGCCTCAAGACAGGCTGCTGGAAGATGGAAAGCAGGTGACCTGCCCATTGCTCTTTCCCAGAGTAAGTGTCACCAGAGGTTTCGCAGGGGCTGCTGAGAACAGCCGATTGCACTGGAATAATATTTCAATTAAAAGCTAACCTTTCTGGGAGAACTACAGCTCTTTCCTCTCTTTAGAGGCAAGAAAATACAAATGCCAAAGTGCCTGGATCAACCTGTATAAAAGAGCTTCCCTGACTTGGGCCCCTTAGGGCAACTACAAGGATACAACCTGCATCCACACATCTTTCATCCATCCGTGCTGCTGGGACCGAATGGGACTGAGCCCTGATTCTGACTGTTATTGCACAGAGGTCCCTTTCCTGAACCTTGCTAGAACTGCTTCCAAAGGGAGCAGAGGTGGGTGACCCCCTGACTGTCAAAGGAGGGATCCAGCCCAGGGGACAGCAGCTCAAGGCACAGTGGCTGGTGCTTCTTGCTGCTGCCAGGGAAGGCAGTAGGGGCTGGTTTGTCACTGGGGGAGATGTCCCACTCTCTCATAGTGCAACATTTGCATTCTCTTCTTACAAAAGCAGAGGGAGAGGTGCAGGTTAAACCCCTTCCCTTTGGATAGTGCCAAGAAGTATATTCATGCTGAGGCCATCACACTGGATAAATCAGCCTGCACAGCCACTCTGTCATCACTGTGCAGCTTTCACTGTGCCACTACAATGTCTCTGCTCTCATCCAGGGTCTAAACTCTCTCCTCTCACCCTGCTGCTAGCAGAGACTCAGGCAGCTCAAGAATTTGCCTTACCTGTCCACAGGCTCCTCCACAGCTCGTTCAGCAGGGTTTGTGGATGCCCAGTACACAAGGTACAGGTGGATGGATGGATGATCACACTCCACACTCTGCCTTCAGTCCCCACATGTCCTGAAGGGCTGAGCTCAGCCCCTCAGTGATCCACCCCAGTGCTGACTGGGAGGAGACTGGGATGGCCTTGGACAGGATCTCTGCTCTTGCTGTGGGGCTCCTGCTAAACCAGTGGAACATGAGGACACCCACTGCTACTCCCCAGCCACCAGATGCTCTGCACTTCTCTCTAGCATTATTTTCAGGACATTTTCCAACTGATGAAGGAAAACAACAGATTATGACTGTAAAGTTATGGTGAAAGGACCGGATCCTGGTAGGACAACATTGTTCCTTGCCAAGAGAAGGAATGATTAACTCCTTCTTTACTGTCTTCCCATTTCTTTCCCAGCTTCCAGCCACCTCTATATCATATATTATATTACTATATTCTCTTATAACTTTGACTTTGCTTTTTCATTTTCAGTAGCACAAGTGATTAATTCCAAAAGGAAAAAAGAAAGGAGAGTTAAAAAAAAAAAAAAGAAGGAAAAAACCCCTGACCCTAGGGATATTTACAGAATAGTTAATCTTGCAGATGGGGTTTGACATGGGGAAAAGCAGGGGAATTGAATGTGCTAAGTGGGTTTGATTCCACATTCCTGCTCTTCCCTCTGGGATCCTGCCTGGATGATGAAAATGAAAGCACTGTTCAACATGCTTTCCCCAAGTGCAAACTCGCAGAGGATGTGCAGGGTGGTGGGGGAGGCATCTCTATCCTCTGGCCTGGTCTGCTTAAAAAGGTAGTATCCAAAAGGGTCTGATCTTGAAAATCAGCCTTTCACCTTCAGGGAGCTGTCAGCTCCATCTTTAGCCTCTCCTCATCACCCAGCACCTTTGTTAGTGCTCTCCTCTCAAGGACCAGGGTTTTTAAGGTGCTGGATGGTGGGGACAAGGGACACACCTGGCATCAAAACCATGAAGTGGAAGATACTGATTTCTTTTACATACCAATAATTATTGCAGTATAAACACACCCCAGTCACCACAGCGAAAGCAGAGAAGGGGAAGCTGTGGAGAAAGTTTGGTGGGTGAGGGGCATCCCACAGCTATCAACTCTTCTCCAGATTAGGGCAGTGGCCATTTACATCAGCAAATAATGCCCCACCCTGTGCCTCTCCCCCCACCCTCCCTTAAGCTGTGTGTGATAAAATATTCCAAGAATCCCTCCATGTTAGATCTTTTCCCAAGAGATTTCTAGTAAGAAAAACATCTATTCCTAGAAAACCCCAGTAAGAGCTGCAAAATGCAATTGCTCTTAAGTATGGCTGGTTTCCCCAGCTGCTGAGACCTTCTGGCCAATCCATGTCAGTATTTCTGTGAAGACAGAGGTAGAGACCTCAGGCAGCTCTTTGTGGAGGGCATGATAGGCTTCCTCATACACCTGCAACCAGGGAGAAGTAGAGATTAGCACAGAAAAAATAAATCTGCATGAACAAAACAGCCTTCAGTCCCCTCTCATCAACACCCACAGGTTCAACACCTCCTGCCCACAACTTGTCAGGTTTTTCCAAGATGTAGCAGGTTATGAAATCAAGGAGATGCCGCTGGTGGTGGTGGCCCTCAGCAAGCAGGAAGTTGTTGACATTGCTGCCTGCCTGACATCTGTGGGTACCAGAGCACCCTGCTGCCCTTTAGGAACATAATGCATGTCCCAGCCCCATTCCACTAAGGAGGAGGAAATACTTATCATGCCCTTGGAATGTAAAGGACAATGGGGGATGTTCCCATCATGCCTTGTGCAATTTTACTCCTTTTATGCTCAGACTATCCAGTTATTTTTCCGATGACAAAAGCTTTCCCTTGGTCTCCCTCCCTTTTCTTTCAGGTTTATTCATGTGCTAACAATTGGTTAATCAGCTGTGGTTCTCTTGAAATGAGCAGATGTGAAGTGGCTTTTGTTGTCCAGCATTTTGGAAAGACCTTCCTGCACCTTTACATGCTGGGACACGAGGTAAGGCTGGTGCTCACACAGTTGGCATTGTTCCAAAGAGCTTTTTGGGTCAACACTTTACCTGCTCGTGAGACTTGCTCTACTTCTACACGAAGAGGGAAGGCTAGGGCCAGGTTTATAGATAGTTGGGTGGTTGGGGTGAATGTGTAGGGTAGCAGCCCTAGAAGGTTAATGAGTAGGAAGATTATGAGGGATGTTAAAACATTTGTGTCCTTTTTTGTCTAGGGGCATTATTAGTTGTTTTGTGACTAGATTAATAAATCACAGTTGGAGGGTTGAGAGTCGGTTAGTGATTCATCGATTGTCTGGGGATGGTAGTAGGAGAGCTGGGAATGTTATTGAGATGAGGATTAGTGGGATTCCTAGGAGGGATGGGCTTGAAAATTGGTCAAAGAAGCTTAAGTTCATGGTCAGGTTCAGGGGGTAGTGCTTGGAGTGATGAGTGGCTTGCTAGAGGGGGAATTTATTGATACGAATGACAGAAGTTTGGGTTGGATGATTAAATGCTTCATGTCCAGGACACCCTTTAGGCATGCAGCCACCATCCCCTGCCCCCAGCCTGGCTGTAGCTGGTGAAAGGCCACCACACTGAACCCAGGGAGGGCTGAGCTTGGGCTAGTTACAGGGGCTGCCACCTGCCCAGCCTCCCCCATCCACCAGCTCTGTTTGCCTCCATCTCTCTGGAGGCCAGCAGGCTCCCACCCCTCACAGCCACTCATGCTCACAGCATAATCTCCTAGAAACCAAGGAAGCAGGATGACCTTGAGTGTTTTGTCCTGGCTCTGCACGGTGTCCATGAGCAGGTAGGAGCCCCTGATGTCGCAGAGCTTGTCGGAGGAGCCGTGTAGCACCAGGATGGGCAGGGTCAGCTTGGGCAGCGCTCGCTCGATTCTGGCTATGGCGTTCATCAGCTGGATGACAAAGGACACCTTCATGCCACCGTGGTACACCAAGGGATCAGATGTGTAAGACTCCATCTGGCAGGGAGAAAGAGGTGGTTTAAGATCAGCAATATTTCGTGCATAAAGCAGGTCAGGCTGGCAGTGAAGAGTCTCCCCTTGGCTTGCACAGTCATTCCCTACTCTCTCAGGACATCTGGCCATCAGAGTCAAGGTCAAGGTACTGTGGTTTACCAGCATCACTCACACAACCTGACATGCTCTTTGCTGCATGCTTCTCTCTTACATCACTAGAAAATATTCAAGCCAGAGCTCTTTGACAGGGGCTCCTGCAGGGAAACAACCAGTGTTTTTTCCAAGACCATTCCCACAGGGGCTCCTGCCTGCATTTTTCTCCTCTGCTGTGCCCTTCTGTCATTCCAATGTGATATCTCTTCTACAGAGGGTTCTTCAAACTGTGTTATTTGAAAGGCTGATGTTCTCCAGGCCAATATTCTCTCTGCTGAGGGCTCAAATGTTCTCTTTCCCTGTCTGGGGGTGGTGACCATGACCTACACCTCCAGATAATTGACAGAGGTGACTGCAAAGCCAAGGGCTCATCTCTGGCTGCAAAGCGTGACAGACAAGGCAGCAAATGATGGTATTAGGTGGTAGGCAAAAAAAAAAAGTAGTCAACAACTTGCTCAGCCAGATTGTGAGGGGATAAAAATGCTCAAGAGCTGGTACAGAAAGTTGCTAGGAAGGAGTAGTTACTGCAGCAGACAAATCTACAGTAAATATTTGTATACTGTATGTGGAGACGGCCCACACAGACCCCACTATGGCAATATTTGCCAGAATGCTTTGATTATGGGCTGGTCTCTGGCACAGCCTCCACTTTCTCCCAACCCTGGCAGATGTTTATAGAAATGATGGTTATTTATAGGTTAGCTGAAAACAGTCTCCTCCTCTCCTCACAGGCACTGGGGTCTGTTCAAATTCTACCTTGAAGGCATTAACTTGAGGTGCTTTTGCTCCTGCCTGTGCCTGCCCTGAGGGGACCATGGGTGGGAGGTGGTCACCCAAGGACACGTAGCCATGTGCAGGTGTAGCACAGGCAGGCACTGCAGGACAGAAAGGTTTTGGGGTGGATTCTGTCTTCAATTCCCTGTGAGATGAGATTCCCAGGGTGGCAGAACATGGTGGGGTTTTCCCACCTGGATGCATTCACTTGCCAGGAGGGTTTGAAGGCAGTTTCTCCTGTTATCATCTCAGATGTGCTGCAGAACAAAACACTGGAAAAGGAGGTGGCAGTGGCACCTTGGTGCTCCCAAGTCTTTCCCCATCACTTTCTTACTTTCAGTGCCCACAATCTCCCACTGCTTGAATTCATGGCTCCTATCCATACATGCAGCAAGAGAAAGATGTGGGGGGAAATTTGGGACTGTTAGTGGCTGACACCACTCAGACCCAGCCCACAGTACTGAGGATGGTCCAGGGAGGCTGTACCACTTTGTGTTGGACTGAGAAAATTCAAGTTATCATAGAACTCACTTAGGGATCCTTGGAAGTGGTGGATGTTTCTAGGATTTGATTAAGGCCATTGTTGTATTTTGGTCTCTGTGCAAGATTATGTCTCCTCTGAAGTGAGGGGTAATTTTTGGCAGGGAGACAAAGATAATCATCACAGCTCATCATATTAGGATATTACACATGGTATCTCCCTTTCAAAGAAGTATGCTTGCTGAAGGTCTGAAAAACTGCAGGCAACTGCAAAGATGAGACTGTGGTTAAGACACTGGGACATGGTAAACATCCTCTGCTCCTGCTAATGGCCCTGGGAAGCAGAGACTGAACAGCTCACAGCCCTTTTGGCTCTGCATGGACCATCCCAGTGCCCAACCAGCTTGTTTGTGCAGAAATCTCCATCTGCACCTTTCATCACCTGCACTGTTCAGCTGTACCTTCCCTGCACTCCAAAGTCTTTCAAACAGGGCAAGAAGCTGCCTGTGTTTAGAGAAAAATATTCCCTTGTGAATGGGCTCGTGGAAGAAGTTCAGCTTTGACTTTCAGGACACCAGGGGCCTGGTGGGGTGCAGCTCACTCTCCTGTTGACAGCTGGGTCCACCCTGCTATGCTCAGCCAAACATGGGGACTTGGACCAGCTTTTGAGCAAATCCACTGTGTTGCATGTACTTAGAAACTGGCTTCAGCCTAATCTGGACCTATGTCACAGTGCTGTGCTAAAGCAACAGAGTTTTGAAATGGTTTTATTATTTTTTAGTTTGTTGGGTTTGTTTGGTTGTTTGGTTTTTTTAATTGAATGTAATAAATAAGAGATTTTGCAGCAGGGATTCAGGAGGGATGGGTGGATGGATTGACAGAAGGCCCCTTCCCATGGAATAAAACAGTGTTGATGAATTCATGTGAGCTGGCCTTGTCCCCAGCCCCATAAATGCTACAAGAATGACCTGAAGGGTTTCTTTCTTTCTTTCTTTCAGAATGGGGATTTTTTAGCTACTGAGCAGCCAACAAATATTTTTGTGTAGTGGATGGCAGGAGCAAAAAAAGACCAAATCCAGTCCCAACCCAACAGGAGTGCAGGGGCAGTATCCTGTTTGTAGTCAGTGGACAGGAATCCTTGTCAGAGTTAATGCTCAGTGCATGGGGTGAGTGCCAAGCAGAGCTCTCTGGGGAAGGAGGGAAGAAGGGAATGGGCTTTATGTTTTGGAGGCTACAGTCTGCAATCCCTGCAAGCCCAAAACTGTTGTTGCTGCACCAAGCTCTGAGATAGGGGGCAAGAACAGAAGGTGATCCCAGGAGAGCCTGTGACTGCTTCCAGACACTGCCAGGCAAAGGCTCCCCAGGGTCTCTCACAACAGCTGTGTTTCTCTTTATGTAATTCCAATACAGAAGCAACCATCAGGTTGCTGCATGGCATTGACCTGGTTAGAGGCCTGCATCTCCTCTGGCAGCCCCATCCTATGTGGACTTGGCAGGAGCAAGGCTTGAATCAGGGGGACCATTCCACTGAGTCAACAGCAGCTAACAAAGATTACTGGGGTAAAGAGGCTCCTGTCACTGTGATGTCATTCCTCTTGGAATAACAGGACTGGCTTTTAAGGTTGCTTCTTGCTCTCTTTTTTCTCTCTTGTGTTTGGTACAGCAAACATCAAACAAACATCTCTGTATCATTCCATATTTCAGTCCCCATAGCCTGAAGACAGCTTTCTGGGAACACAAACTCATTGGGAAATTCTTGGATGTTGTCCCAAAAATATTTCTAGTGAATAGAAAGCTGGTCTGGCAGGCGAGTATGTGTAAGATATAAATAATGGATGTTTCCAGCACATTGTGTGCTTTAAATCTGTGTCTTGTATCCAAAAGGAGGGTGGAGTGTGCTTAGAGGCAGGCAGAGGACCAAAATGCTGTCTTGTCTTCAGTAAGTGCCTGGACCCTCAAATCCTGGTGTCTGAAGGGGGTCAGGAAAGTGCTTTACATCACTACCCCCAGCTGCTATGTCAGCTGTGTGCTCACATGTAGGTGAGAAGGCAGCACAGCACACAGGGTGTCTCCCTTGGAAAACATCTCCATTATGGGCAGGCTCTAATGAAGCAGAGCTACACCTTTATCCACTGCAAAAGGCTCTCCCGTGCTCCATGGAAAGAGCAGAGCAAAACAACATTCCAAGGAAGCTTTAGAGACTTCAAGCATCACAGAACAGACAAAGCAGCAGCAAATACATGGTTAGAAAGACAACACAATAGCAATTGTTATAAACTGTGTCCAGAGGTTGCTGTGGTGACTCCTACCATCACCACAACACAGAAGTGCTCAGTCAACACTGTGTGCCAATTTCAGGAGCTCTCTGACACTTCCCTAAATGTATTATTATTGTTCAGGATGTCCCTACATCATCATTTTTCTCCTACAAAGCTATTGAGTGCCGCAGTTGCATCTTCCAGCAGAGGATCCAGCTCTTGGAGGTGAATTTAAAACATCTTTAAATGTTTTAAGTTTAAAACATCCTTCAAATGCAGCTGCAGCAGAGTTCAGGTGTCACAGAACAAATCAGAGCAGAAGCAGGTAAAAACCCACATGTCACAGACATGCTCACTCTTCAGGTAGGGAATAAGGCTCTCCAAGTCCTCTCCCCTCAAAAGCACTGATTGCTTTTATCCTCTAAATACAAATGTAGATCTGAAAACTTTCCTCTGTGTCATTTTAGTGAATTGATTGTCTAATTTAAACCTTTTCTCTGAATTATATGCAACGAGTTATGGCAGCTGAATGCATTTAAGAACAGGTTTTTACAGCTAGATTGGAGTTCAGCCTTCTTCCCAGGCATGTATTGTGTGCAGCCTCATCTGGTACTTTGGAGCATATGTCACACGGTGCATCAGCAGATGCACATGATCTCACTCCACACTAGTCCTGTCTTCTTTTCCTCAGCTCCTTGGATCTTTCCACCTCCAACACAGTGAAATCTTATGCTCTATTCAAGGATAAGTGAACTGAAAGTCATTGGAACAAAACCCCCTCTGGCAGTGCCAAGAAACAGCCCTGAGCCTTGAGGCTATTCTGGGAAATTCTTTGCTTTCCAGTTTTCTGAATAGGCGAGCCAAAGATGTGGGATATGCTGAGGCCAAATGCACTGCACTCACACAGGTGCTGGCACTGGCTTTGCCCCTGATCCTTTCAGCTTCAATTCTAATGCTGGTCAAGCTGCCTCTCCAGAGAAAGGCAATTTATTAATTCCTAGTTAAAGTATGAACCATTGCATGAGCAGCAGGGAAAATTACAGCATCTGTCAGTGAGATGTGAGCATGGGAGCACAGGAACAAGTGACCACTTTGCACCAGCAAAGCTCTTGAGACACCCTTGAGTGCCCTTTTCTATAATTCAAGGAAAAATGGTGCTTTCTGAAATGCACCAAGTTCTGGGTCTAGCCTAAGCATCTTCATTCACTTATGGTTTGTGATTATCTCCTTTTACTCCTCCCACAGTGGTGAGAAGGAAAAACCCTCATTTGGTGGTGTTGCAGCAGTTGCAGCTACACCTGTTTGTGCAGTGATGGCATGGACAGGCTGACACAGTTATCACCAGCAGTGGGTGGGAGTGAGACAGTCCCAGGCTAAGGTGGCCCTATAAAAACTCAACCCCAGGACAGTTCCACGCACATTCACAGTGGTGAGGCTGGAGCTGTGTTGTTACAACAGCTGCTTCAATTGCAGCTCCTTCAAGTATTATTCTTGGGTGCAGCATGGATATACCATTTGTTTGGAAAGGCTGTAGCAGAGTCAGAGTGTGATCCACGAGACCTTGGAACAAACTCTTTGGTTCAAGCATGTTCTTGTCCTCTGCTTGAATGCATCTGGCACGATGTGATCCTGGAGTGGATGCAGGAAAACCAATCCCCAGGACTACAGGGTTTTGCATGATTTCACTGCAAAGAGCAGGGGTGGAAAAGTTGACTTGAGCAATGTGTTTGCTACCTGAGCTGGGTTTTGCTGCTGTAATGAGTGGTGGTGGTGCAGCAGAGACAAAGACACGGCTCCCACGTGCTTCCCCCTGCACCTGTAGCTCTCTGTCATGTCTGGTACCCAGAGCAGCTGTGGGTGCAAGGCAGGGGGAGCAGCTGGTTTCCCACAGCCTTCTGTGAGCAGTCAGTTCCACTGGCTTCAGAGATATGTCACCATTCTACACCAGCACAGATTTTGCCCTCCTGATTTAGCAAAACACTTGTGGGTTTTTCTGAAAGAAAAATGGCAGGACCAGGACAAGATATATCAACTATGCAGTAAGTTAAAATGGCATTAAGGTTCTCACCTCTTTCTTGTTCCGGGAAATTGCACTTGGATCTATGGACCCCAGTGATAGGTTTGGGAGCACAAAGTTGAGCACTTTTGCTGCAAAAACCTGTGGGAGAGGAAAGGAAGCAGTCAAAGGGCCAGTTAGAGGAAGAGAGGGAACATAGAGGCCCAAATCCTGAGCTGATGGAAATCAGCACATGAGTTAAACAGTTGAAAATCGTCAACTAACTCTGGAGAAAGATCTGTCCTATATTTAAACCATTTCTCTTAACGAGGAAAGTGTTTAAACTGCTCCTGGGAGCAGGGAGTGGGTGTGCTAGACTGAAATGCCGTCAGCTGTCCATCCACATGCAGCAGCACAACTTCATTGTACTGGGGCTTTTCCTCATTCCTCAGTTAATTTCTGAAAGGCCTCAGTTAAGTACTTTGATAGGAAAAGGTCATTTCCAGCTCTTAGCGGGCTGGGTTTTGGTGTTTTATTGCCCTTTCCTTGCTGCCACAGCTCTGATCTCAGGCTGCAGTGCGTGAGTGATGCTGGGTGCCATTTGCAGCAGTTGCCTAGGCTGCACTCATTTTGATAAGCATATTCTCCAGGGAACCTGCAAATAAACAACAGCCAAGTGTGCATGCATTGGCTAAGGGAATCCATTGCTCACACGTCTCCTGGGAACCACACACAAAAGCACTGAGCAGCCTAGGCTGGAAACTGCTGCTAGAAGAAAGGGTAACATCTTTTATTTCAATAGCACTACAAGCACATTGATACCAGAGTTCTGCTCTGATCTTTGATAACTGCCTTTAATTAAGTGATCACTGCTTAAGTGAGAAAATACACAGTGAGTGTTCATTGGTCTGGTTTGTGGAGCTGTGGTGTTCACAGCTAACACTTGGAGGTAGACTGTCCCCTATGCCCTCTGTTTCTGCAGATACCTAAAAATTTCTGAAGCACTCCCTGGCACTTCAGATCACAGACACATGACACATGACAGATTAATTATGATATTAGAGGAATAACACAAGGTTGAAGTCAAAGTCATTGAGGAGTGAAAAGCAGTAAAGACTCACAGCAGGTTTGGGAACACGTGTGTACCTTGGGGTAGACATGAGCAGGAGCTCATGTGTCTGCCAGTACACTGAGCCCCTCACTGGCTATGACATTGTGCCAGCAAAGTTAACTTTTACTACACAGCAATGCAGGTATGAGTTTATGATGGTCCAAGGAGGAATGGGGTTTTCCTCATTTCATGTTAACCCGAGGCAGTGGTGATTTAAGCTATGCACCTTTATGTATCCTAGGCAAGATTATGGACTCTGAACCTGATGATTATCATCTCTGCTAAACTGAACAGAATAAAGGAATCAAACGACAACAACAACAATAAAAATTAATATAGTACTTTCTTCCAGTTTGATTACACCTCTTTGCAGTGTTACTGAGTGCAGATTCAGGCTGAAAGACAGTGAGCAACATGATGCCCAGTCAGGTTAGAAAGCAATAGATGAGCAAGAGGTGAAAACACAAAAGATAAAGAGAGAATATTGTGTAGTGAGTCCTTAAACAATAGGCTGAGGGTCAGTACAGGATTAAATACCAGGGAATATTTCCTAAGGGGACGTCCTGCCCACCTGATTTCAAAGCATTCAATAGCAGAAATGTAGAGGGAGATGCTCTTTCACCCCTGCTCTGCCCTTTGCCAGCATATGTGACTCCTGTCTCTGCAGCCTTTGAAACTGCAAAGACTCAGAGCTGAATTTTGTCCAGGTCAGTTGAGAAGAAAAGGGGAAAGGCAGCAAGATCCCTCTCACAAAACTGGATTTGCAACTGGATGCTTCCATCAGGACACAGGATTTATAGGGCACTGATGAAATAGTTTCTGCAAAGAGCAGCATTTGATCTTCCGGCACAGAGCCTGCAATGAGCTGTGCCTCTGCTGCTGCCAGGGCTGGCTCAGCAGTCAGGGAAGGTATTTCTAAGAGGGTCTGAAGGACCCAGTGTGTCATCTGGCTCGCTGTTATTGTTGTCTTGAGCCCTCATTTGTTCAGGCCAAGGTAAATTCTTGCTCAGCTGGAAACTTCCCCAGCAAAGGGATGAATGCAGTGGTCCTTGGGAAATGGCCCAGGGCTGAGAAGTCGTACCAGTTCCAAGGGAAAACTAAGCCTTTGTTCCTCAGAAGCACAATCACCATGAAATGTTTTTTGACTCTCAGAGGAAAAAAAACCACACAGCTTTATGGGAAAATGTGGCTTATGCAGGAATACTATGCTTGTTTTCAATCCTTCCTCTTGCAAATACCTTTTCAACTCCCGAAATGATTTCAACTGAGTGTGACAGAACAGAGCTATTTCAGGCATAATTAATTTTTTATCAGTGTTGAGATGCAATAGATTTGAAAGAGAAAGAAACTGACTGTGCTTTTGTAATACTGCATGTGAGAGACTTTCTAGGAAAGAGACCATATGAAAACCTCCAAAATATGTCAGTTAGAGAATAGGATTTCCTACCTAAGTAATGCATCATTGCATTTATTTCTTACACAGAAATAAAGCAACACCTGGTACAGATCTGCAACAAAGCAGACTACAGTAATGCTAGTTCCCACAGACCTGGTGAGTCCTTGTTTCAGAAAGGGTTTAGCATCCAGCAAAAGGTAAAGCTATAGCAATTGCTCTCTATTTCCCTTGATTAGAAAGAAAAGGTTAACAGCCTCTCTCATATTCAGACTGTTTATTATTTTTTCTTAATAGTTATTCTTTTTTGCTTTCCCAGATAAGAAAAAGCAAGGCCACTGTTGCTCACAGGACACTTATGCCAGATGTAACCTCACATGAGGAACCAGTAACCAGCCTCCTGAAACCAGACTTTGGTACTCTGGCACCTATTTAAATAAGTTCATTGGGCTGGATGACTTCAGGATTCACTTCTACTCTTAAAATTCACTAGGACTATGGGAAAGCACTTAGAAGGAAAATATTGACTGGCATCCAGGTGGTGCAGGTCTCAGCAGGGTTCTGCATCTTAAGGCTAGAGGTCTTAATGCATTTTTTTCAGTGGAAAAGAGGTAATTAGAAAGCACCCTTTGGTGCCTGTAATGATTTGTGAGGTCTGTAGATGGCTTTGGCTACAGCAGGAAGTGGGACAGGATTATACTGAAAGCTGAGGCAATCTGTCTCCTTCCTCACAGAAGAAAAAAAAAGGAGAAATAGCTTAGAAGTAAATGAAAACAAGAAGCTAGCCCTAGGAGAAGTGTCTAAGGAGAGAGAATAAAGGAAGGAGTCCTGTGGGAATGAGAGGCTCTGTCCTTCGTGCTGGTTTAGCTGCTCCTTCCCTTTGCTTCCAGCTTCTTTTAGGATTGTTGTTTATTCTTTTTAGAATGCAAAAAGGAGGAGAGAACTGAGGCTCAGTTGCTTTGCAGAACTTCCCTGGGGAAGGGCAAACTGGGCAATGCAACTGTGGATCAGAAACAGCTCTGGAGGCCAGATGGAAATGGGAGGAGGACAAAGCCTAAATGCAAACCAAAAGAGATGCTCTGGACAAGAACCAGTCATGGTACCAGGCCAAATGGGATGCAGCTGGGGCACTGATGCTTTAGGTGGGAGCCTCTTTTTAGGCTCATAAAGGATTTCTGGGACTGAGGAGCTCTAGTTCTGTTCAGAAATTGGTCATCCCCCAAATGCCAAAAATAACCCTGGCCTGACTTAGCCAGCAGCCTGTGTTGCAACTATACCAGACTCTGCATGAGTCAGGAAGAGAGCTGTAGGAGAGGAAGGGAAAGGACAGCATTGTGTGGGCTGCCACGGGGTGAGGTGAAGAAAGCACAGTCTGCTACCACCAGTACGCAACTCCTGCTTAAACAGGTTTTTCTGGACAGGTTCAGGATTCACTTCACCTTTGAAAAGTAGGTGGAACTGTGGGGGAGGCACTTAGAAGAAAAGTATTGACTGGCATCAGGGTGGCACAGATCCCAGCAGGGTTCTGCATTTCAAGGCCAGAGGTGTTAACACTTTTCCTTGTGCAGAAGAGCAAGGTGACCATGTGCAACACGGGTTTGCTCTTACCTTGATGGGAGTGGCGACTTCTGGGCTGGCTACCACCAAAGGAGAGATTAACAGCATGCCTGAAAACTCACTGGGTCGCTCACTAGCTGTCAGAATGGAGATGGCTCCTCCCTGCAATGCAAAATAACAGCCCACAGCTTAATACAGGTGCCAACATCTTGTTTGTATAGTAATCCTGTTACTGGAAGGGGTTTAGTCCAAGCAAGCAATTACCTCTGCCCCACTGAGAGTGCAGTGGGGTCAGCAAGGAAGGCTGGAGGAGTAGAAGCACTGGAAATGTCTGGGTTTTGTTGAGGGGAAAGAGATCTGGTTTCTGTTCTCATGCTATAAACCCTCATGTCACACAACTCAACTCTCCATGCAACATCCCAGCTCCCCGGGATGCCTTGTGTCCTCCTTACTTTAAAGGACTGAGAAGAAGAAAATATCTGAAGTGGTAGTTCAGGTGGGACTTGAAAGATAAGTTGAGGTTTATCAGCCTGACAAGCTGGTGCTGCATGGGGAAGATGCCCTGAAGCTGGGCTTGCTCCGTGCTGTGCCACTGGTAACCTGGGCAACAGCAATGCTGCCACTGGCATGTGAAAACCTTCACTAATTAATGGGAATTAAATATTCTCCTCCCCAGTGTCCCCAGCCCCACAAGGGCCTGGCAGCAAACACCCAGCCCTTGGTCTGGAGCTAAATGAGAGCCAGGCTGAGCCATCCCGCACGAGGACGGGCTGATGGCGAGCGGTGCTGATGGAAGGGACCCCGTGGGCTTGCTTGGGAAAGTTTGCAGAGGATTAGTTGCCAGGGGAAATATTTGGTGAACTTCCACACTTCTGGAGAACCAGGGGCTTGTTAAATGGAGCAGCAGCGAGAGGCATCTCAAAGGCTTCAGTGGGAAATTGCTCCTTGTTACACGGTGGCTTTGGAGCACGGGAGCCCTTCAGAGCATGCCATGCCTTCTTATGCCAGAACACTTATTTATCTGAGCATGGGCTGAATCCCAAAGTACTCATTCATTTTCCTCTCCTCTGGGAAGGCAGGGAGGGCAGATCAATGACATCAGTGGGAATACTGTTAGCTTGAATAAAGGGATTTGGCCCGTCCTGTCAGAATCAAGCTTCAGATCTGTTCACCAAATCAGTGCCTTTGTTTTTGCAGCCTTAATCCCTGGTACATTTTCCTGTTAGGTTGTTTAACAGAATAAGGCTACAGGGTATTTTTATGCTTCATCCCCATGCTGCTCACAAAGCCTTGGAGGGCTTAACCTCCTGGTTACTGGTTAAAATGAAAGGGGAAACCCGATGCTGCAGGGAGCTGGTGAGACTTACCACACAGCCACGGGAATGAATGGTCATGTTAAAAAGCAGGCTCCTCCTTGCAAATGGCTAATTAGGGCCATGGTGGGGGTAGAAAGTTAAGGACTGTCTTTATTCAAGGCAGATCTCAGGGCTGTAGCATGCTGGCAAACCAATCAGTGAACGAAGTGGAAGGGAAGGTTCTTTGCAGTTTTGTTTTCCTGCTTTGGAATGAGTTATTTCCTGCCATCCCCATGAGTACCACCAGGCTGTGACACATGTCCTGGGTGCTGCTGGGAGGGGTAGAGCATGGTGCTTACCATGGAGTGCCCCAGGATGAGAACAGGCAGTTTGGGGTGCTCCTTCTTCATGAGATCAATGTGCTGCAAGCTGTCCCTGATGAAGACGTGGAAATCTGAGACAACCATCCGATCACCCTCGCTCTGCCCGTGGCCAACTGCAGGGGAGAAGCAGAGCACACAGAGCACACAGATAAGTCACTGGAAGCACTGGTTACAGTCAAGACAGGACCTGGCAGAAATAAACCTGTTGGGCTGTTTCTGTCCTGTCCTAACTTGACCTTCTCCTGCAGTCATCTCTCAACAGAAAAAGTGCTGCAGAAATGCAAAGGAACCTGCACAGAGCCTCCAAGTGCCATACTGTCCATGACCTGACTTTTTAAAGAAACATCATAGAATCATAGAATGTTAAGGGATTGCAAGAGGCCTCTAAATTTGTACTTCTATTCCCCCATGTTTCTATCTGCTCTTCAAAACTAAGAGTACCAGTTTACTTCTGGCAACCTCCACCATCAGGGTGGAGAAGGGCTGTCTTGCCTTGCTGATGGGTCACTGGATCCTGGGAAATGGGGATTTGCCTCAGGGATCACATGCTTTGGGTCTGGTGGCTCACTGTACAGCTGTAACTGCTGTGTAGCATCTTGGCCAGAAACAGAAAGATTCTGAAGACTTGATACAGTTGCTATAAACCTAATGGACCATGGATACTGCCTTTTCAGGGCCTGAATGTGCACAAACTTCACATTCCTGCTTTTTCTCGTGATACCCTGCAGTGCTGAGTGGGCTGGAAAGCTCCTCTGTGTGAGGTAAGGGGTCAAGTGATGGAGGCTGCAACAGCCTGCAGTGGGCAAATATCCAGGGGCAACCTCCTCCTAAACAAGTGTTAATGCCAACTGTACCACACCTGGACACGGCTTCCTCACTCTGTGTCTGGGAATTATCCTGCCTAATGGAAGGGAAGGGGAAGATTAAAATGGGAGATGGTGAGTTGCCATGGGAACAGTGGCATCCCTGGCAGAGGTGGAGCCAGCATCACCACCAACACAGCCCCAGGCGATTTTGAGCTTGCAAGGGCTTGAAATTAGTACCACCTTGGGGAAGCAGTTTGCATGCTTACCTGACCACACATGCATGTTATTGCCTATCACAAATAGGATTTGAAACAGAAATCCTTTGCTTGTTTCTGTTCCATGCAGGTTGTTAAGGAAAATTGTGAAGGGGAAAATGCATCCCACCCATATAGGTCAGGGTATAGGGGGTTTTGAACATCTCCCTCCTGCTGGGTGTCTCCTTAGGCCTTCTCCAGTGGGCACTGAGGCCAATTTATAGACACAAAGGGGCAATGGCTTGTTAAAGGAGGTGAAGCTGATAATTGTTGACATGCTGGATGGTTCCCCTTGCAGCAATCAGCAAAGAAAAACACCACTGACACAGCCACAAAGGGAGTCAGTCACATCTGCTGGCAGTGGAAATACTAGTGGGAATCAGTAGGTCTCAACTTTCTTGTAAGCCACCCAAAAAAATAACCTTACAAATTAGGCAGAACTTCCAATAAAAATCTGGACTAAATTCCCTCCATCTAGGAAAAACTGAACCTCAAACTTTTTTTTTTGTCAGGTGGTCTCCATGGCTGGGTCTTTTGGCAGTGAAGGCTGCAATCAGCCACCCTGGCTGCCATAAAAACCCATACATGTCATGCTGATCAATTATAAATAACATTTTACCAGTTCTGCTTTCCATGCACACACTCCAGTTCCTGCCAAAATATGGTGCAGCAAGCATCCTCCATGGATCAGTGACCAGAAACAAATCAAAGAGCAAATTAAAATACAAGTCATTATAATCTCCAGAAGTGAAACCATGTGTGTGGCTAGAGGAACTATTGACTTTAAACGGGTTTTTGTTACAGATGGAAAGTGAGCTTATTACAATTTTTGTACACATTCAGTCCACTCAGTTTATGGTTCTCAAATGTGTTATCTGCCTATTATTTAACTCCAAATGTAGCAGGTTAATACCAATTGAACGGTCCAGAGAGAGGAACATTTTCCCTAACAGAGCTCTGCATTTCAGTTTTATTTTTTCTCCAGTGCTGCCTCACTTGCTTCTAGTCTCTCCTTCTCTCCAGTCTCAGACAGCTGTGCAAGCAGAGACAGCAAACCCCCGTGGCCCAGGTCTGTCAATGGGCCATGACTCCTTGCTCTGGAACTGGGAGTCTTTGGCCCATTTTTGGATCAGACTGAGGGAGGTCTGGAAAGCCTCCTTGGCTCTCAGTGTGAAGAATTTCCCCTGCTCCTACCACATAACAGTGACACTGCTTGTAACAGTCAAAGCAACGATTGTGGAATCCAAGGAATACCTGTGCAATGCTGTGACAAGTTCCTCTTCAAATTTTTCTAAGGTTTTTTTATTAATCATTTAATGAACCCCCCTTTTAACCCCAGTTTTAAATACTAAACTCCTGTTCCCCACTCAGATGGCACAAAGCTTGAGCAGCAGTTTGTCTGCACATGTGGGACAGGAAAGCCATGCAAGTCTTTGCTTTGATACTCTCCCTGCCCCTTGCACAAGGTTAGCCAGGGGGCATTGCTAGGTCATGGTCTTTATTTTACTATTTTCTGTTCTTCCCCTCCAAGAAACCAAACTTGTTCCCCCAGTGAATGAGTATATTGCAAGTTTGAATTCCCCAGCTGACAAACTTCAGGGTGAGGAGCTAAGACCCCTTCTATGAGAAGAAAGATATTTGCACAACCAAACATCAATACAATCAAGAGTATTGATGTGTTTTTCTCTGATCTTTTGCCTTTAGAGCTATTAAGAGTGAAAGGTCAGGTTCACCCTTGATGTAAAGCTATTAGCTTTGGGTTTTGCTGGGAATGAATCAGCTGTAGCAATTCCACAGTGCCAGTGGTCAAACAGTGGGTGCAAGAGGAGTGGAACCACCTTCCCCTGGCACCTGGGACTAATCAGAGACTGCTCCACACCCAAGTGACACAACACCAAGGGTGACAACAGAGAAGCGTCCAAGAATCACAGCTCCATGAGCTCCTCATCCCAGCATTCCCACAGGTTTCAGCAGGGCAGTGTGAGGTGCAGTGAGCTGTGACTGCTGCTGCACATCCCCACAGCACACTCAGCACCCAAAAGCTTTTAAATTGTTTCCCATCTACCTGTCCTCACACCCAGCTTGTGTGGCTCACTGCCAGTGCTGTCTTTGTGCAGTGGCTCAGTGATCATTTCAGGTTGTGTGTACTGACCTAATTGCAGGCACCCTTTTCACGAGTCTTTAAAAGTGAGAATCCAAACCACATATTTTCAAGCTGAAAATCTAGAATTAGGAGGTTTAAGCATCCATTTCCAACCAAACACACCTCTGCAAAATAGCATACTTTGTCCAAACAAAGTCTGAATAAAGGCTGATCATCTGGCCCAATATATCACAGTTATTAAATTCTTCCCTCTATTTCCAGCATGAGCATGCTCAGACTGTGGCTCTGCCCCTGGAGTCAAGAACAACAAACAGCTCAGTCAGTCCTGTCAGAGAGCATGACTTCAGAGTGTGGTTCCACCTATGATTATAGAAGCTCCAGAGCTACACATCTCTCTGGATAAATGAATACTGACTGCCTGCACAGGAAGACAAAGCTGAGAGTTCAGGGATGGAGTATTTGAGGGTGTGAAGTCTCTGGGGAGTCAGTTATATCCATGTAAATATGATTCTGCCTGCATAACAGATCCTGTGACCCTGGAAATACCTACTTCTACAAGTCCCTTCATTCCTCAAATCCCATATTCTCTCATGCTGTGGGGCTTGTTTTTGAAAACCACTCCAAAGCAGCCGGGCTCTTCAGCTGACATTGGCTCACATGCCTCAAAAAAAGGTAACGTCCTGTTCAGATTGGAGATATCCTGAAAAACATGTAAATAAAAACCAGTCCAACTTGACACTCCTTTCCCTTCATTGAAAGCCAAATGGGAACTGCCTGAAGAAATGAGCTCTGGGCTTGTTGGGCAGGCTCAGTCTGCTGAGGGGACCTGGGCTGGATCTGCACCAGCCCAATGCCTTCATGCTGGGGCTGTGGGGCCACATCAGAGCTGAAGAAATCCATCCCTAATGCAGTAAAGAAGACCAGCAGAATGTTAGGTAGAGAGGAGAGCTTGGCAGTACCTGTCCCTGCTCACTGTGGGGTGCCTCAGGGTGAGTGTCCCCACACCCTGCCCACCCTCAGATACCTGCTCTGGTTTTGTTCTAAGCACTTTTACAGAAGGCACACACCATGCATATTTATTCCTCTTTCCAAGTGCTCAACCCTCCTGACAAAAGTGGAGCCTGACCCTGGGTGCTCAGCTGAGGACTGAATTGACCCTCTGACCTTCAGCAGGAACATTTTGCTATGGAAAATGAGGTGATGGGAATGCAGGTCAAATGTTGAGTTCAGCTGTGGTGCTGTAAATTCACCAATTTCAGGGCTGTGCCTTAAAGCTTACAGTCATGGGAAAGCAGAAATTATGCACCATGTTGTTTTTTCAGCCTTTGCCCCCTATTTATTATGGAAAAGCCATAAAACTAAGACAGGGAACAGGAGAAATCTGCCTAGGGAATAGTAATTTTTCAGGAAGAATTTGTGTCTTGGCTTTTCACATATTTTGGTGTTTCCAGCTTTGGGGGAAAGGGGATGGTTTGGATTCATTTTTATTGCAGTTAGAACACCACCACTGTAGGATGAGATGTTCTCCCCTGCCACTGATGGTAGAAACAATCAGGAGGAATGCAGGGCTTGACTCCTGCCTCAGGATTCATCAATACTTTCTGTTTTCCTCTCTAGAGGTGTAACTCCAAGATTTTAGAGTGGGAGAATCAGGAACAGGCAGAGCCAGGGGTTAGGTCAGGAATTCCAGGCTAACCATTCTCTCAGCACAGACACATTTTGAATTGCAATGGAACTAACAGAGGAGTGTCAGGGGTTTTCAGTGGTTAAAGGTGAGAAGTGCCACCACTGTGAATTCAATGATTCCCAGACACAGCTGAGGAGCAGCTCTGGTACCTCAGAGCCCCACACTGGAAAGAAATGTCTTAGTGATGGCAGAGGGGCCATCACTGGCAAGGCTTGGTGCTGGAGCATTTGATTTAATAAGCTGGAGCATGATGTGAGTCAAT